GCTCTTACCTGCCTCAGGTTGACTCCGTGTCGGATGTTGCCCGTAGTTACGTGCCCCTAACTGCATCTCGTTCTGTTATAAAAAAAGCATAGAGGTGCAATGCTACAAGTAAAGCGTAGGAGTTGAAACTACTGAAAAACTTCTTGTGGAGGTGAACACATGAGTTTTGATAATCACTCTCGACCAACTCTGAAAGCATTGTACTCAGGTATTGCGGACGTGATTTCCATCCTCACAAGTTGCTTCCACCGTCTCAACCGTCAACTTTCCTTGGGTCCAGAGTACAGGCTGGTTGTCTCAATTGCTGTAGTTCTCAGTGGGACCACCTTTCTCACTCACATGATCGGAAATATGATCATCACTATCAACCGCTATTCTGCACTTTGCCTCGCCAAGAGGTATAATGAGGTAAGTAGTTCTATAGAATACGATATTCAACGTCACTGATGTTTTGTTGTGAAAATTGTAGGTAGTTTTTTTAGCAGAAATGAGTTGGTTCTAAGATTGTGGAGTCCCCCTTTGAAAAAAAAAACCAGAAGTTTTAGGTATGCCTTATTATGTGTTAGGGCTTCCGCAATTTCGATTGGGCCACTTTCCCGCGGCTTTTTGCGGTTGTCGTTCCGAATGGTCTTCAAAGGCTTCATTTTTTTACGTGTGCAGCGCAAGGTTACCTGGGTGACAGGCTGTACGAGTGATCTCATGAACAATGGGCAAGGCACACTCTTTTCAATTCATGGATCACTACCGGTGCGGTATAGTCCAAGAATATCTTCAAAGGTAATCCACAAATCGGCTGTCCCGAGACTCTTAATTCCTACTCTCAACGCGGCGATTTTGAAAAGGAGTGCGGCACACTTGCCTTGTTTGGCAGAGACTTTGGTACCCAAGAATGGCAGTTCACTAACATTTCCTTGATCTAGGAAAGATGTGGAAGATTGGACCCATTCCTCATATGCTGAGCTCGCACCTATTTCAAAACTCACCTGAATTGTCATGATTCTCATAAATCCTCGTCGCGTACACGACCACAAATCCAGCAAAGTAAGAGACAATTAGAAGAGGAAGCTCCATTTTCACATTCAACATAAACGGCAGCGTCTTTTTTCCCAAAAAAGCGGGGGCTACGAGAGCCTGAATCCTACCCTGGAATCTGATTCGTGATAGGGTGCAATAGGCTCTCTAATGGGAGCTCTCGCCGCCTATTACTAAAGGTAGGGATTCCGCACTGCTTAAAGCCATAGTATTTCGAAATTTACGGACCAAACACATGGTAAAAGGAATAAGAAGTAAGGAGTGGATACAATGTTATTTTATTATCAACCGTTTTTTAAGGTTTGGACTCGAAGAAACGTGTGGATTATGATTATTGCACAGTATACTGTGTCTTTCGCTGCTTTCAGCCACCTTATTGGAGTGGAATTACTGTATAAAGAGGGGGATGATGGTCGCCTCATATATGCTGGCTTAGAATCTAGCGTCAGCTGGGTAAGAGTTGTTTTTGATCAGTGATTTCAGCCCTCTGTTGCCGGAGTGGAGGATATAAATTTTCGAGTGCAGAGATTAAGCTGTAACACGCTACAAGCAGAAGGTTCTGTATGACGTCGCTGCCGTTGCCCATTCCTGTCTTCTTAGTGAATGGGTGTTCGTAGAGCGCCACTAAGGAGGCCATGTAAAGGAGGACATATGGGGATATCCACATGGAAACCCTTTAAAGATGTATCGCATGGATAGCTCGTCTCATTATGAACCTGTCTCGGTGGTCATTCACGGCGCGTAAGACATTGGAGGCGTTTTGGATCACTGCCAAGAACCAATGAATAGAAAGGAGGAGTGTGTGGCTGTGACCCGCGAAACTCGCGCCTTTCCTCGACCTCTGTAAGTTTTGATCTACCGTGAGGTCGGAGGGTGTAACTGGTAATGATTAATCCGCATTCAAGTCATCCTCAGGGTGGTCGAGCCCGCACTGCGGCGTCTAGATCAAGGTGAGCCACACAACCACTTATCGATCGATACCGTTGGGTCGTTTTACTAGTTTAGTGAAATTGTCTTGAGAATTGTTGAGGCGTTTCAGCGGGCAGGTCTCATGTGTTTTTTGTCCATTTCAGGCTCTGACGAAGGCGAAGACGCCGAAACGTTGGCCTAATAAAGCATTTCAAAGATAAAGCATTTCAATCTTGTCGAGGCTTGAAGACAAACTACATTGAATATCATTATGAACCGTACCGCTAAAGTGAACAGCTCCCGAGATAGCAATTTTTCAGAAACAAGTTTCTAGCTCTCCATCCGCCGAACTTGCTCTTTGTTTACTACTCTTTCCTCATAGGGAAAACAACGCGACCTCTTGTGAGGTTCTCCCAACGATTCTGTACCCTCGTTGGATACATTTTGTTGGATTTCCCTACGAAAGACCGCTGCAGCACAAAAGGCTTACAAGAAAATGTGGGTGACATTGTGACGGCGTTGCGAAGTGTGCCCATTTCATGGCATACCCAGTATTGAATTCAGGCGACATTTTGCGCTATTGCTTGGCACAAGCAGCACTCTTTTTCATATTCTGCAAAGATTTGTAGACAACTACCCACTAAAGGGTGATCCGCGAAACGCATTTGTTAGCTAGGTCCGCTTTCGTAAATAGACCACTCCCGTCGGAAGAACGTGCGAGATATTCCAATCACGAAAGAGGCTTAGATTCTTAGGTTACAAGACAACAGCTTACACCGGTAATTTCCGCGCCTGGTGCCTGAAGCGTCATAGGGCGATTTCATCTGCTCGTAACAGAGAATAGCATGGCGATCTTTGCAGTCGCTCGTCGCTCTGCTTTCATTGAGCACCTTTTCCGGAAACAAGAAAGCAACAGCAAAGCAAGCGTGTGTTTTAGCGCTGCTCGAACCCACCAGCATGCAAACTGAAAAGTTCGTTGAGCATAGCCTCCCGTAATGGCCTTGAATAGTAGCGAAGAACAATTTGTTGACTAGGAGTTGCACAGAGGATAGAGGCTCTCACTTTCCAGCAAGTGAGCAGCAGGAGCTGCGTGACTGTCAGGTTCCCAATTAGCAAAATTAGGAATTAGCATTATGTAATTTCAGAGGAATAGGTTTGTCTTTCTCGGACTATCCCTCCTCTACTCTTTTGTGAGCCTCAGCTTGAAATATCAGGCTCTATATTAATCCGGAAGTATGGAAGGTGTATCCTTCGAGGATACTCGCGTACACGAAAAAGGTAAGCGCTTTGAACTTTCCTGGGCAAAATTGCCCCTGCATACATACGTTGAACAGAAGACGCCTGTTTTTCTTGTTTAATATTCTCCATTAACCTTTTTCATTGTTGATTGTAAAATAACGAGGGCCTTGAAGCGTCCGAAATTCCTTGTGTTACCGAAAAAGTGCCACTATAATCAAGGGCGGAATCATGTTGCGTGGTCCTTTAAAAAGGATCTATCAACAGCCACCTGTGTTCCCATCTACTATGAAGCTGATGAAGCTACTTAAGTGAGTTCTGTTGCCCAGTGGGTCGTGCTAGGGGGAAGTCGCCTATGCCATGTCACTTCTTCACAACTCTAGCGAGGTTTTGATATTCCGTAACGCATCCTAGAACAGTATTGCACAGCACCAATAGGTTGATCAACGACGGTGCATCATCCTTCATTCCTTCATGCTTCTTGTCTTTCCTCCACGTCTTGGTACCACTGACCGTTCACCAGCAAACCAGCAAATTGACTGCATTTGAGGAACCGCGCTGCATCTAACGTAACTGCGCCATCGCTGGGGCTTTCTCAGCATGAGTTTCTCAATTGCCGCTGGTTTTTGCTTGGAAATGGCTTGTAAGTATTTTGACAGAAGCTTGTGCTGCATGCGCTGGTCAGTGGAAAGAGCGTCGTTTCAGTCTATATTGCTATGATTTTCCGATGCCTTACCGACTCCCTATTTATAGAACCTAATTATACAGGGGGGGGGGGAAAAAAAGTCACTTTGCTTCATTGACTTTCGAGGCGCTATAAGTTACACTTTATAAATTCTGATCGGACATTTCTACCACCATATTAAAGAGCATATTAAATACTATTATGACACTCCGCCACAGCCTTCTGGAGGAGCGCCATCGAGAGATTCTGGCACGCAACCGCGATGTGGTGCCTGAGATCAGCGAGATAGTCGATTTCTCCGCCACCGTTCAATAGGGGGTAGACCACCCTATTGAGTGGTGGTCTACCCACTGTAGACCACCCTATTGAACTCCGCCTCGAACCGGGTAATTGAGGGGATTCAGGTCAGGTGACCTACTTGGATATTCCATCTTCTTTAGGTACTCAGCCCCTTCCATTCCAGTAGGCGAGAGTTTCTCCAACGCCCTTCGATTCCACGTGGTGGCACCCAATGCTGTAGCAGTACAAGTTTGATGGTACGGGCGACGACATGTGGGGAAGATATTCTTCTTGAGTTGGTCGATGTAACCGCCAGCGCTCAGCTTCAGCCCGGGTCCACGAAGAAAATATTGGTCTTTCCATTCCAGGTGCGTCCGGTCCATACCATCAACCCGCGCCTTGGCGACTGCCGTGAAGATGATGTCCTAGACCGTAGCGACGTTGTCGGAGCTGCTCGATGTTGGAGGTCTTCCAGATTACTGGTCTCCAGGTAGCTATCCATGGGTGACTCCATACTAGAAGTTTCGCAGCTGTTTGGAGGTGACATGAATTCCAAAGGTCTTCTCCAGTCAGGCTGCGACTGGAGATGACTTCATATTTTGGTGTACATGAAGGTGATGGGCGAGGGCCAGCTTATCGAGGAACATCTTGGGTATCTTCCGCCCTGGTACTCGTATCCACGTCTCTGTCTGGGCTGCGAAAACTTTGCTGATATGTGACTCGGTCGAAGTGACTTTTTTGCCCCCCCTCCCCCGTAGATCGGACCCTTACACTTCAGTATCTCCTTGGGGATATGCAACTTTCGTGTACTAAAGGCCCTCCCTCAAGTCCACAGGAATAATGAATGATTATAACACTTTTTTGTCTTCATAGCAACAACGAGCAAGCTCAAGGAACTTTGGGACATTTTATTATGCTATGAGAACTAATTTTTCATTTGCTGCCTTCGAACTTCTTCAGGGTCTGCTGTTGTACACAGCGCTTGTATTTGTTTCCACTATGTTGCTGTGCTTACAGCAAATTGCAAGAGCAATCGCAACCAGCACCGGCAACGTTGACTTCGATTTATGGGCGACTATGCAAGTGAGTTCATTCGTTTTTTGGAAGCGCATTTACATCAACGGCCACTAGTTAGGTCTCCCACTAGCTTTCTTCCCTTCTTTGTGACAAAATACTTTCCGTTGTCATGATCTGATCATTGCTCGTAATGATGCTTTAACGGTTGAACCAAATACGCCTCAGAGCCCTTTCGTTCCACCGCGTCCTTTTGATCGCGCAAAACCTCAAAAGAGTATGAAAAAAGGAACAGCAGATAAAAAAACTTGAAAGAAGGTCCAATCGTGGAGAATTTTTGCTTCATTTTGCTAGATTCTTTTAAAAACCTGTGGACGGGATTAGTTCCTGCAATTAAGGTGAACCTTCTGTCTTCCAAAAAAACAAAAATGTTGGTTGAAGTCGCCATCGAAGCAGAATAGTGAGAGTATGGAAGTGTTACCAGACGACTTTGAATACGTATCCAATATTGTAAGGTGGTGGAAATGAGAAAGGGCTGTGAAACGTAATAAAAGGAACGTCAGGGAAGAAAGAACTAGACATGCCTATTTGCTCGTTTCTCAGGTGAGAAGGAAGGTTGACCATGGCAGGCCAAACACTTTTGTCACTGTGGATAAGAACTCTTATAGGTTTTCGTTCCATCCTCTAAGAGTCTGAGAGTATCATTGCAAATGTGAGAGCTCGCATGGCCAGCGCACACAGCTGGCTCCTCGGCTATCTTTGCTGACATTAAGAACTTGTTCCGTGATCAATGGGTTGAATCATTCCCTTAGACATATAAGCTGACGTCTGGAGGGGATGATTGAGGGTGGGCTAATAGCAGGCCTAAGTTTAACAACGATTCCGACGGCACCACGTTTTCTTTATAAATCTGTGAGCGGTTTTTTGCCACTATGATCCCGGACCCACCCCGCCCCTAGGACCTCCTTCATTCACCTTTAGACCTCCCTTCTTCATCGTTGCGGTCCATCATATGGGTATCTGTTCTCCCGTGATAGCGAGTGGGGAAAGTCGTTTCTACTCTTGTAATTATGGATCCTTTCCAATTCGCTGAGCTCTAGATTATTTCCAACCTCTGCGTCATTCGCGTGCTGATTCAAGTCCACAAAGAGTTTGCTCTGAAATGTTTCGCATCTTTCCTGTAAGTTAAACGCAATCTGGCTGAGGATTACTCGATGAGGAATTCATACCCGTTACTACAGACACGAGGCGAATTCAAAAAGCATGAGCCGCGGGGATTCCGCTCGGAAAGATTCCGAGTAGATATAAAAGAAGTTCGTAGTCAGCTATCTAAATCGCACTGCACGGTGTAAAATTATCTCAGACACCCATTTCAACCATTTCGCCCACCGCTGCCTGTTAGATTTTTATGTTTTCAGTTTTTCTGGATAAACGATGTCATGGTGTGTGTGCCACCGTTCTGCTTGCTGTTGCTTTCAAGCGATCTTCGTCGAGACATTGTCGACTTCTTTCGATGTGCAAGGCATCAAAACACTTCTACTGTGTCCATATCTATTGTTAGTCATCGACACTCTACGGTGTTGAAGTAAACAATGCGCGAGTACCCTAGTATGTTCGCTTTCAAATGAATAAAGTATCTGGAATTGTTTCTATAGCGATGTATGACTTACGTTCTTTGAAAGCAGTTTCTAGTTACTTGCTACTCCTGCGTGTGCACGAGCAAAATTCATTCACTTGACGAGTACATCTCAGCTTATAGCTTATAAAGGGGAACTCGTGTTTAAAGACGAACCGTCCACTCAACCTCCGAGGAAGGCCTCGGCTGTTTCCGGAGTGAAAAAGTGCGGAGTTGCAATAGGTGCTACTCTCTCCGTTCAGGCGTACGCTGGGACGGGGCGGAGGGCAACGATTTACTGTTGACGTCTCCATACTCTACCCGAAAATATGCAGCACTTGCGGCGATATCAAGATGCCGAAGGGTTTTCTCGTGACTCGAAAAATCTCTTGTCAAAATACCCGTTGAAAGGATTCCCTTGATGGAATTAAATGGGCTGGTGGCCAGAAGTGTGGCACTTTCGGAAACTCGCGAAAATGAAGCTGGAGAGTTATGATAGTTCTATGCTGTTCCACTTCGCCCATCAGCGCCCAGCCCTAACCATAGTCGAGCACATTACTTGTCTGCGTCCCCTAAACACCGATTTGTTCTTAACCTCGAGGTGTATGTTTGGTGGAGAATTCGGTTGGTAAGCACGTGGTGGGCCTTGGACTAGCGCGAGTGGAGTGACAAAAGTATCACGCTCACAAATAGGTGCAAATACTGCCTTCGGACTGATGAGTGCAGGTGAGCACAATTTGTTTTTAACAGAGCGGGGAAGCACGCCAACTTATCCCTATCCCTGATGTCAAGTAATGAAGGAATTCGGCGCACTGACCAAGCAGAAATGTCTAGGGGGCTCATATGAAATCTTTTGAACAAGATTGTAAGAGCAAAGGACTTCAAGTTCTGAATATGCGAACTCTTACCATTGAGGCTGTGGCTTCTCACCACACCACTAGCCGCCTACCGATGCTTAACATTCTGAGCTTGTGCGAAAGAGCAAAGAGCAAATGGTCTGTAGCTTCTTTCAGAGGATTGTTTTGCAATTTCGGAGGGCAGATTTTAGTTTAGCAGCTCGCGACACCTTCATCTTATACGTCTCATTGGAGGTGACCTGGTCAACCTGTTAGGACACCTTGTGAGGACTAACGAAACATCTTGCATTGCATCAAATTTCCAATCAAGAAAGCTGTTCTCGTGACGCTCTTTTTTGAGTCAACCGAAGAGGGATTATGCAAGTTACAGTTACGGAGATACTATAAGTGTTGAACCGCCTTTGTGTTGAAGTTCGTCCATCTTCTGGATGATTCATGAGGCATTGCGGTTTGCTTTGCAGCCATACGATTTGTGGAGACTGTATTATAGGCAGATATATATTTTGTCAAAACTCGAAGAAATTCTAATTTACCATTGTATCAAGTGTTGACATGGCGGCAATGAAACGTGAAGTGAATGCTAATTGTAATGACGTGCGTTTGGTTGAGACTTGGATGGTATGCCGTCTAATTTCGTTTCTAATGCTTAGAAGTAATGGCTCTTTGCATAATCGAACAGACTACCATGACTACCAGAACTCGTTCCATATGTAATTTTTTAATTTCTGAATCCTTTTTATTCCTGTCAAGAGGGTGCGGAGCATCGGTAGTTCAAGTATCGACTACTATAGCACACTGATATTATATTGTTCCGCCGGATACTAAACTCTCGGCTGCGGGGACATTCAACTTCGATAGCAAAGATTTTCTGACTTTTCTTACGACTAGATATGTGCTACAACACTTTGACCGAATCTCCAGGATTGGTATCCTTGAGTGAGCTGAGCCATCAGTAATAAGGCAGTCAACTAGTATCTGGCATATCTGTGAACCGTTTGTCAGCGTCCCGATTCCGCATTCACAGAAAACCGATAATAATGACAATGGCACTTTGAGTTGCTGTCCATTATCGATTTTATTTGCTCTCTAGGCTGGGCATTTTCGCCCTGGATGTATTATAATCGATAGTCATAGGAAATAATCGTCGTCGGATGTGGGAAAAAAAACTGGACCTCTTCCAACGACTCCAGCACATGACGTGTTTCAACTTGAAGTTGGGAAGATTGGGTTGTGGCCATCGCTACTGTACCACTAACTACTAGCGCCTTTTTTCATTTCCTCCAACTGCAAAAAACATGCCCACTTGAGCACGGACTTGCTTTTTTTCTATAGACAGCTTTTCTTCTTGAGGTAACTTGCGAATTCCACGTTCACAGGTTCAGAAGTTTGCATAGGGCATAGAGCTCCCGCTACCACTTTTAAATTTGTGACGAAGTCCAGATCGTATGAGTTAAAAGATGCTTGTACCAGTACTTGGTCCGGCTTACAAACTGGTGCAACTCACAACTTGTCCTTGTGAAAATATATCAAGGAAGCGGCTGTTTCTATCCAGAGTTCTAACACCCGGTGCTTACGTTTGGCTCTGTCCTAAGGAATTTCACTTATGGTAATCACCCGAAACCAAGACGCTGACACGTTGCCCATTCCCAGGGTAATATATTTCCGGTGAGTACATACGTTATAAGATTTCACTTGAAGGTAATCAAGAGGCGAGAAATATGGCAAATATCCATTTTCTGCGCCAGCGTTGAAAATGAAGTCACTTTCGTTATTAGACTAATTTTTGGCCGGTGGTAGGCATAAGCATATTTTGAAAGAAAAGCTGCGATAAAATTTTTGAAGGACTGTGGAGGTGATGCATGGGAATCTTGGGAAAATATCGGGTGTGTGGTGATTCGTCGGGTCGTCGCGCCGGTGGGCGGAGCGAGGCGGCGTGGCGGCCGCCGCGTACGAGTTTTGTTGCGTGGCGTTCAAATTGTTAAAGGGTCGACGATCCCTTTAACAATTTGAAAGAGGCACAGCTTGCTGTGGCCGTTGCTCCAATGACAACTCGGGAGTACGGTAATGCAACTCCGGGATTGCCGCGTCGCGGCGTGTGCGGCGTCGCCTGACTTGCCGACGATAGAATCGCCCGGGTGCTGAAAATATCATCAGATCGACTGCTAACTATTGCACTGATAGCCCTTTTGAAGTGAACGTAGTAAGTCGTCTGAAGAACTCATTTCACGCTGTAAAAACCTTAACAATAGTGGACAATTAGCGACCGTTTCAAAGCGATCATTCTCGATTTCCATAGAACGGCAACTACAGAAATGGCATTGCAGACAATGCAGAAATACTCAAAACGGTAATGAGCGGGTGCATAGCAAGCAATGCATGTGGCGTTCAATGTATAAACGATGAGTACCCGCCTTCAAACTGTTCTTAAAGAATTCATCGGTTGAACATATTGAGGATCGTGATATCATTTAGGACCCCTTTCAATTCATTCAGTAATTGAAAACGTAATTATAGCTAACTTCTACACCAGTCAAATGTCAACCAGCACGTCGTAGAAGACAGGTGAGTCAGTACAGCAGTTCAGCGTTTGAGAGAGGTGATGCGAATTACCCGTAAACATCGGTTCACCTTTTCTGCAGAAACGATGGTGCATAACGTATTACAAACGGTAATAGAAGGGATGCTGGTGGTCGCCTACTCCTTCATTTTGTATATTATAATCACATCTAAATTGAAAACCTTCGAAAACGCATTCTATTTGATGTTCGTGGCAACAGGTAAATTCTTGGAGACTAGCAAGGAACGAGTGTATTTCCGTTATGAAATCGATTTTTCAATTTGGTACCAAACTTATGCCAAGAGTGGAAATATGTTTGGGCCAAGCTCGAACGCAATGCCTTTTATAAATCCAGCAATAGCCCACATGCCACTTTTCAGGAATTGCGGACGTGCTCTCCATCCTCACAAGTTGCTTCCAACGCCTCAATCGTGAACTTCCCTTGGGTCCGGAATATAATTGGGTGGTTTCAGCAGCAATGGTGATTAGTGGAACAACATTTCTCACTCATATGATCGGGAATATGCTTATCACAATCAACCGATATTCTGCACTCTGCCTCATCAAAATTTATGACAAGGTCAGCTACAAAAACAGCAATTTGATCCTATGTTCAGCAAGTTCTACAGAGTCCCTCTAAAGCGCAACAAGAGTGCGCAATTTATTTGGTTGTTCTTGTGGTTTGTTTTGATTTGGTTTGTTCAAGATTTCTCTGTGCCCGCAGTATAGGTAACGATCTTGCGTCTGCCAGCGTCCACCAGCGAACTCGAGGGTGATTTTCCTTTCGAAGGATGTTAAGACTGCGTTCATGCTTAGCGGCAGCGTACACCAGCGTCCACAGCGTCCACTAGCGTTCCGAGCGTCCAGCAGCGTCAGCGACTAGGAAAGTATAGATATCGATCTAGCGTCTGCCAGCGTCTGCCAGCGTCCACCAGCGTCCACCAGCGACCGGGAGTAGAGAGTATAGGGAGGTAGAAGGGTAGGAAACAGCTGGGTAAGGCGTCGCGAAACAGCGGCTGTGCAACCGCACAGTACAACTACGTGCACGACACCATGCATTGAATTGCATAATTCTGTGCTTTGAGCAGTGGTGAACTTCGGTTGCACACGCCGCAATTTCATACCGCTTAATCCATCTGATTGCTACCCTCACCATCGCATACTTCGGGTCGCTGGTGGAAAGCTGATAGACCCCGGTAGACGCTGGCAGACTCTAGACCGATACTTATACTTTCCTAACCCTCGAGACGCTGGGAGACACTAGACTGATGTCTATACTTTCCTAGTCGCTGACGCTGCCGGAACGCTCGGAACGCTAGTGGTCGCTAGTGGACGCTGGTAGACACTATGGACGCAGCCGCAAATATGAACGCATCGTTCGTGCAAGACTTTCGTTAGGCCTCCCAGCCTCGTTATCAGTTACCGTGCTCCCAGAGCCCCTTCTATGCGCTCGAAAATGTGAGACAAAAGCGCTGAGCATGGTGATAACCTTTCCTCGATAATCAGATTCACAAATATGCTCTACAGCTGTCAGTCTAGAGTGCAGCCTTTGGGTAGTTTAGCCAGGTTGATTCTAGATGGCAGACTATATTTTTGCCTACCTCCGAATGAAATATTAGGTTGTCCCAAAAGTTCGTGGACATTTTTTGAATCTCGTATCAGATCTTTCCGCAGCCATTTCGAGATCCAGTTATGTGGTCTATGGGAAGTGTGTTAGGTAAGCATTCCACAGCTTCTTCACCGTCCCTCGCAGTCGCTGTTCTCATATGAAAAACGGTAATTGAAATTCATCATTTTCGACACACTTCGCTATATGAATCTCTACCAAGCCACAACGTGGTTGGAGCCATAAGCGGCATTTCCCTTATTTAGATCTTGATGTTACCTTCCACAGTACGGCTTTGGAATGGCCCAGTTGCTTCCGCTTTAGTGACTTCTATTAGGTTGTTGCATAAGTTTTTTCCCCCGACTTTTTCGTAAATGTTGTTCGAAAAGTCCTGCGACACTTTGATTGAATTGTTCTAGAAAAAGACCAAAAATCATTTTGGATGTTTTTATCCCTGATTAGTGGAGACTGTCCTCTGGGGTTTCTGCACATGGGTATATCATGACTTTGAGGAAGTTTTCAAAGCTTAAAAGTCCCCCAGAGATCGAGGTACTTTTCGACCTGTCCCATATTATGAGTTCCTGTAGGGCCACTTCGCCGTAGTCGAGGAAGCTGACACCTACGTTGTCTTGAGGAAGGATATCGCTTGCCATGGCAGAGGGTAGCTTTTGCATCAGCGCTTCTAGGCTGGACTTATTTAACTCGTAGTTAGGCAATGTATAGGTCGCCCATCAGCACAGAATGACGGCCCTTTACTCAAGCTTCTTGAGGCGCAGCCGAACGTAACCACCGGTAAGTTGGCGACCTCTCTAGGCTCCATCTGACTGACAACTGCCATGCTTCTCCGCAATCTCGGTTATCGGAAAATTTTTTGTGAAGGATGCCTCATGAGTTGGACCCGTCTGACAAGTCATACCGAATGACCGTGACTGAGTTTTCTTTTCCTTGTACACAGCGTAGAACTTTTGTGAGATCTTGTGGTTGGTAGCGAGTGGTGGAGTCCTTGCGTACATCATGCACATGTCCCTTGCAGGATCTCTCAAACAGTAGATTGCTTAGCCAAAAGAAGATGTGCATGGGATAAAGATTTCAGTGTGTTATTGGTGGGACTTCAAAGCGGTATCACTGGATACCAGCACCGTTGTAAGGACCACAGTCCACCTTAATCGACTTCAAAATATGGATGACGTCACGCTTGAATTCATTCAGAAATACTCAATTTTTCTCTACTACTCGGTAATGCGAGGACCGCTGTGGGGATCAGGCTACGCCAAAAGATCATGCATTTCGATCAGAGAATGCGACCGTACCAGGTTATTTAACAAAGTTAGCAGCCTCTAATTACCACCTCCTTTGGTCCCTATCGCATCCTTCAAAAAGCAAAAGTTCCGAAAATCAACCTCAACTCGAGAATGAGGTCCACCTCTTCTTTTTACCACAGTTGCCGTAGTTCTATGAGAATGGAAATGAGAAGCTGTGCAAAAGAAAGGCACTAGTCCTAGTCATCAACTGCGGTTACCTTGTAGATTGGAGATGTCCTGGACGGTTGTGAAATTTTCGTAAAGGCGAGGGGTGGAATGGCGGTACTGGATGCTTAGTGGATGAACTGAAGTGGAAGTATATGTGTATTTGAGTTGTTGTAGAATGAATAGCAGGTAAATAAACAAATAAATAAATGCAAAAAATTGGTAGTAAGTTATGAATTTTCGATTATGACCTCATATTCACTGCTATTCTCACTTGCCTTGCGACTATATTATGAACTTTTGCAGCAGGCGCCGCCGACTCGGCGCACATCTCATTCGCTGGGGTGGTCTTCACTTATGTTACCCGTCCCTCGCCCCCCCCCCCCATAGAATGCAGCCCACTCGAATTTTTTACTGTAACAAAATGCGAGTCGATCACAGAGCGGGTTCATCCAAACACTGCACGATCAACCTCACGCCCAGTTCAGGTGTGCCTCCTTCTGTTTATCTACCTGCCCACTTTTTACTCGAGTCCGTTTTCCCGCTGCCCGAGTAGTTCCGGGTCTGAATTTTGAAGATTTGCGTTAGGCCCCGCCCGCCCGAACAAACGCCCCTCACTTCGGGTATGCCCCCACGCCCATTGTGGGTGTAGTCTAACGTGGTGCATAGAGAATGATTTTGTCCCGGGTCCCTGTGATCTTCCGGAGGAATTTTACGAATTTTTGTCGTTGGCACTACTCACTTCGGTGCACGCCCCGTCTATTGTGTGCGAGGCTTAGTTTGTGTGTATTCGGTATATTTTCAACATGCCCTCACCCCCCATCCCAAAGTTGACGGCGTTTAAGTGTTTTGTTGACGTTTTCAAGAGACACCGCTCAGCTAAATATAGGCCCCGCCCACTGTGTTCGGTGTGGCGACGATCAGTCCCTTGAGTGTGGTGGTTCACTGGACCGATCGTCGCGGTTTCTTCTACGCAGAAAAAAGGGGTAACCAACCTCAATTGGAGATATGGGTCCACAATATTTCTTGAGGAGCACGTAGCCGTAGGAATAACAACGACGATATATGGATAAAGGATAAAAGGATAAAGTCTTCGCCGTTGATCAATCCCTTTGTGGGATGCGGCACGCATTCTACTTCCATTCAGAATCGTAGTGGCTTATTGAATGCGATGTGGCCTATACAATGACTTGCGGTGGCCAGCCGATGTACAAGTCAGTGTTTTATCCTCCCAGACGAATCTGGTACCAATTACCGTCCCCGGAGGGTAGAAGGCTTGGTTGGCCTGGGCGGGAGTCGACCCGGGATTCGAACCCGGGACCGCGCGAATGGTGAGCGCCCCACTTGTCACTACACCATCTCCGCCTCAATATATGGATACAGTTAACAAATAACAATGAAGTCTTCTAGAAAGATTTGAATAATGAGGCCGTGCCCAGGTGCTTAGTAGTACTACTCACCAGATTAGAGGTAATAACAAAGAAAATAACGAAAACTTCTGCGAGTCCTGCCTCGCTATACGTCGAACAACAAATACCAACGATAACAAGAAAGGGGGGACTAAGCTCGAAACTTGAACACTGAAAACAAAGATTTGATCAGTTGAAAGGCGAAAAAGGAAACGTGACGACGGGAGAATCCACAGGTGCCGCCGATATCCAGGGAGAGACAGCCCGTTCCGAGCTCCCCGAGCTGGACTGACCCCCTTTCCATTGATTTCCCGCGCGATTCATAGAGCGCGGGAATACGGTGGCGGCCTCTGTGGACGGTTGATCTATAACCCGTCGACTGGTGGCGCACTCACCTAGTGTTAGTGCGACACAGGCGGACTCTATTCTCCTATTGGTGCCACAGACACGCAGACAACTTCTGCTTTATATATAGAGTATGATTGCTGCAAGGCTTTTCGTTCTACCTAATAGAAGCGACTTATAGCATCATAAAACGAAATTGTTTCAAGATGTGGATTCGAAGAAATGTATGGATAATGATTCTTGTCCAGTATCTTGTGGCCTTCGCCGCCTTCAGCCACTGTATTGGAGTGCAAACGATATACAAAATGGGTGACGATGGACAATTTACATTTGTTGGCATAGATCCTGGCGTCGCTTGGGTTAGTTTGCCTTTTCTCAGTTCAGAACCTGATCGAAGTTAGTATTAAGTAAACTCAGCCACAAGCATTACGGAACATGATATAAGCGAAATCAATGACGAAATACCACGACTTCGAAGAACTATCAGCTATACTTCGCAAGCATATCTTGGGAATAGTCATTTTCTTGAAAAGGGCTGGAAGAAGCGTTCAAAGCTTGAGTCGAATTAGCCTAAAATTCGTCCACTTTGCTTTCTGGTGGTTTTATCATTTTCGGGCAGTAGAGATTTAACCACGAATTGGGAGCGAAAGCTATAGAAGCGGCTGCAAGTCTGACCAGAAGCGAACAGTAAGTTTGGAGAGCGTCTAGGGGAAAGGCGAGGTCGTTTTGAAGAGCATGACTGGACCCTGAGACGAACTGAACGCCAGCTCAGTCGTGTTTTCTGGAGGCAGAGCTCTTCAACTCTTGCAGATGA